CACACACACACACACACACACACACACACACACACACACACACACACACACACACCCACACACACACACACACACACAGATCGGAATGTATATTAGGAGTTTTGGCCACCACAATCTTCACGAGGAGGATCAGAGAGTGTCTCCTGTGGGTGACATTCCCACAGGCTTCTCTTTTGGAACACATGGAAGAAATCAGGGCTTCTAGCGGGGGGGTTAGACATCAATTTGAAAGTGAAAAGGGGGCTTGCCTAGCCATGGAGTGATAGGGATGATGGTGACGTGAGTGGGTCGTTTGGGATGAATAGCAGTGACAGTGCTGTTAGCCTGTAACAGTTGTGCAATTAATCTTCTGGCTTTGTGGACCAACTCAGAGGGCTCTCCAAGCTTCTTTAGACCATTGGCGGATGTGGTTCGTGCATTCAAGTTCTTGTTGGGGGGGGCTTCTGTGTTGAGCATGTTGCCTTTTGCCCTCCATCCTGTTATGGACTATAATATATATAGTCAGTGAAGACGACACAGTTTGTCACAGCCCCTCGTTTGTTGTCCTCTTCTCCCTCTCTGCCTACTTTAGTACTTCTTACTAGGCAGTTCTGTTTGAGGATGTGAATTTGTGCAAGTGTGCAGCTTGCCAGCTTCGACCGCAGACGGGTGTGTGGGCACTTTGCACTTAACACACAAATGTGGCCAACCTTGCATCTTCTACTATATTGCCTATCTAATATACCTTTTTTTGTTTCATGGATGGTTTTTGATGATTTGTGCATGGAACGAGAGCGCGAGTTTGGGGCTTTTTGGAACACACACACACACACACACACACACACACACACACACACACACACACACACACACACACACACACACACACACACGCAGAGGTCTGGGGCTGTTGTGGTGAAAATCTACAGCATACACACAGACACACAGACACAAGGACACCCAGGCATACACAGACAAACCTGCAAGGGCTGCAACAACGCACACACGCACACACGCACACACGCACACACACTCACACACACACACACAAACACACAAACACACACAAACACACACGTACAGTCTTACCCAAAGCAGTGACGCAGATGCACAGGCAAACATACACAAGCATTATGATACAGTTACAGACCATTCTGTTGGTCATTCCTTTTTCCTTTTTTCACCCCTCCTGCTGTTTAGGATCCGTTTCTCTGTTTGGTGTGCCGATGCATAGAGATGTTGAGATGTGCCGAATACAGGTGTGATATCCCTTCAAGTGCCTTTTGGACTATTAATCGAGGGCCGCTGTGTGTTAGTTGTGCTTAGTACTGCCTTCATTCAGTGCTGGCGACTGAAATTTGTTGTGTGGCTCTCTGCCAGTCTCTGGCTCATGAGGTGGTGTCGTGACCCACACTGTCCCACACTGTCCCACAGTCATCACTGTTTTCTATATGCTGTGACTCCTTTGAGTGGGAGGCAATCTGCTTTCAAATTGACTTTAAGTTTGCTGTAAGTGTGGCCTACTATGTAGTACTGTGTTGTTGACTGTGACCTGCTGTTTGCCTTGCTGTTGATCTCTGTCTGCCCCCCTCCTTCTTGTGTGCCTTGCTGTGTTGTTACCTGGCGCGCACCCGCCAATCTGCCCTCCCGGTTGCCTCACTGTGCTTACTGCTATGTGCCCGCTTGCCTGCTGCCGTGCCGCCGGCCTGCCCTGCCCACTTGCTGTGCTGTGTGCATCCCCACCTCCCCCCCCCCAACCCCTTGCCGTCCTATAAGCGGCATTGTCCCTGGCACCCTGGCGAGTTGTGCACCTGCATTTGGCCACTCCCCACTCCCAACAGGGTTTGGAGCTGGATACGACTCAAATCAACACAAGGGAGCTGGTAAGTACCGAGGACGTGGTCAGACGCGTGCTGAGCAACATATGGTACACATACTACCCTACTGTCCCTACACACACTGCAAGAGAGAGAGAGAGAGAGAGAGAGAGAGAGAGAGAGAGAGAGAGAGAGAGAGAGAGAGAGAGAGAGAGAGAGAGAGAGAGAGAGA